AAGTAACTCAATGCTGGCATCAACAAACCAGGTAAGAAGTAAAACATAAAGGAACCAAACCAAACGACGAAAAAGAACTTCCATCGAGTGATTTTCCAACCATTAGCTATTGTGTTCTCCTCTTTATGTAATGTTGTGAACATGGCTGCAGACATTAAAGTTCCGGGCCATAACATACCACCAGGTCGAACCAAGAAGCGTCTAGTGAGACCTGCAAAAGCATATCCCAATATCTGTGTGGAAAGAATGAGGAGCAGCTGATACATGATACTGACTTTCTGGTTGTAAAAGTGTGTTTGTTCAACAATGACATCTGTTGCAAATGCAAAGCCGAAAGAAACGTTACTGCTGATGTAGACACAGCTGTGTTCCTTTTCATTCCATTTCCCTTGTGCCAACCATAATCTTAATCGCCTCGAGCCGGTAGCGGGCTTACCACTGGAGTCATCACATCCAAGGGTTGCAGTTCGATGCCCATCCACAAATTCTTCTTCAGGGTCGTCTCGTCTTTTGAGGAGCCCATCCCACATTAATCCAAGCGGGTGCACAAGTAGAAGGGCGATGACTGGTGTAATAGAAACGCTAGGGTATCGTAAGGAAAAGAAAAGGTTTGTTGAAGAACCGAGTATAGCAAAAAGCATAGAAAGTGCCCACATCCGAGGGGTGTTGATTGATAGAGTTGTATTATCGATGGCAGATACAGAAGCGCGAACTTGGGCATAGGGAGAATTGTCTGGTGGATCTTCATCATCGATTGAATATTCCTCGTCTTCTTCGTCTTCATCTAGCAGCGCTTCCTCTGTATCTTCCTCTGTTGAAATAGAATCGGAATCTGCATTACGAATTTTTATTGGGGAAGCCGCAAGCTCTGTTTCTTCTGACCCATCATTTTGTGTGTTGCTTCCTGTACGATTTCTCGTTCGCGAAGTCGAACCAGCATTCGCAGATGAGGAGGGGCGCGAATTAGATTTGGTTGATTTGAATGTTGCGGCGCTGCTAGAATTCCTCAAATTTCTAAGGGCCGATGAACTCTTTTTCCTCTTCTCCCTTCTTGTGTGAATCTCTTCCTCCTCCTCGCTGTTCTCTGACGATGCGCCCACCGGAGCTGCTCCATATGATCCTGTGCCGAATCCGGGCGCGGAACGTAACAAGAGGGGTGTCTTGGACATGAGTCTATGTATTTTTTGAAAGGTGTTTAGCAGGTTTATTTTCTCATCTGCTAGGTTGTGCCGTGGGGCATCGTCTTCTGTCTCTGCGGAATCTCGTGTATGTCGTCTAAGAAGGTTAGAGTTAGATTCAGGATAGAGTTCTTCCTCCTCGTCGTCGTCAACCTTGTTGTGCCTCGTGGAGTGATAGTGATAGTGATCCAAATTCTGGTTGTTCGAATGAAGCAGTTCAGCTGGTAGTAGTTTCCTACCAGTAAGATTTGACTGGGAGGGCTGGAGAAAATCAAGGGGGACACCCGAGCCTTCTATATTACAGTCAGAGGAGTCACCCGATCCTCTACTTCTGCCGCCTGTTGCGGAAACGTGAGGTAGGCGGAATGTCATATGCAGCTAGGAGGCATTGTTGCACGTTGTCAGGCCCCACTGAGACATATGAAGGGAGGAGCCCTTTTTCGCGAAGAAATTGAAGCTAGGAAGGAAGCTTAGTTGGCGGGAATTGACTGATGAGTGGGATACTGGTAAGAGGACTGGGTACTCGATGACGGGTAATTTTGATAGGGGAGTTATTCCTTGCGGAAGAGGCGGTAATGGTGATTCGTGCAAGCGTGATGTGTGTTCTCCTCGATTCTTGAGTAGATTAATTAATCAATCGATAGAGATAGGAAAATGATAGACCTTGTTTTCTTCAATATGATGGAAATACGAGTAGAGCCTCGTAGATGATGATAATGATACCGAGAGCCTCTTCCACCTTTCTAAACTCTAACACCTAGGTCTTTTCCTCTTTTTTTTTTTATCTGATGTTAATTTCGCAATTTGATTGATTGATATGCAGCAAAAGTTACAAGCAAAAAATTGAATCCCTGGAAAAGCTTGGAAATCATCTGCAGCAATGCATCAAATATCACATTATGCCGACTAAAAGTTTACAAGGGATCCGTCCTTTTTCCACTTTGTATGTGTAGATCCGTCTTATCTGATCTTTGAGATTATGAGATTATGAGATTGTGCAAGTTTCGGGTGCAACGTGTGAGAAAGTGGAATGATATTTCTAATAAAGGAATACCTACGTATTGAATAATGAACATTCAAGATTCAAGATTCATAGCTGATGTCTCATTGATGGTGGGTACAAGCTAGCAAAGAGCTTCGGAAGAGGGTCAAGAGAGGTATAAAGGACTCGTAAGTATAGTAGTGTAGCATCGAGATTCCTTACTGATTGTAGTCAAGGCATAGTTTGATATATCCGCGTTAATATAAGAAGAAGAAGTCTAACTTGTCTAACTTGTCTAACTTGTCTAACTTGTCTGCTTCGTCTGCCTCGTCTGCCTCGTCTACCTACTATGGATGAGACCTACCGAGTGGGCATACTAGGTAGGTATGTTGACTAGGTATTGATGTCGGAGGTATTGACTCTTGTCATGAGTTTTTCGGATGGTGTGGGTGTGTGTTGCTTTCTCATTAAACCGGTAATTTCAGACGGTATCTGAGAAAGTGATGGAATGATGGATTGATGAAGCGATGAAGCGATGAAGTGAGCTTGCTTGTAATTAACGATATCTCCTTACAGTATTGAATACTTTTATATACAATATCAACATCCATCATATGACCTGCCTTGATCAGCTTACATCGATGAAGAATTATGAAATATTATCGACTTCTTTCCCCTCAGCCAGCACAGGCACCGTGTTCAATTGATGAATGGATGGATGGTGGACGGTGGATGATGGATGCATTGATTGCTATTTGGTAGCCAAATTAATTCCTCTGGCGGGGTAAAATTCGGCTGATCTGACAAGAAAAGAGTGATTTTCTCATTTCTGTCTTTTCTCTTTCTTTCTCTCTTCACTCCCTCCACTCCACTCTGCTTACTTACCAGCGACCAGACACTCACTCCAAACATACGTCACAACACATTCACCCAATGCATTCTATCACGTGACCAGAAAACTTAGAGCCTCGATTGATGAATCCCTTCAGCTGTCACTGTGTCCCCCAAAGCGTTGTCTTGCATCTTGATTGTAATTTCCCAAGTCTAACGGCCTCCCTCACATAATCGACACCAATCAAATTAGAGGAACCACAACATGCTCTTCACGTCAAACTTGGATTCACCTCTTCAAAAGTTCTCTTGTGGTTACACTTAAGTTTGAGACTCACAGGCTTCTTCCTTGTTGAAAAGCTTGTTTGGATCAATGATAAAAAAAGATTGGGTGCTTCTCGACCTTATCATCATTTTGGCACTGACGAAATACTGCCTCACCAAGTGTTTGTTGGCCTGATTACCGACCGACCTACCTACCCTACCTACCTACCTTCTCTGCCTTTCCACCATAATTCAATAAAAGTTATCGCCATCACCCACCAACAATAATCCTATCTTATATGGTCAATCATTCAATCCTTCAATAATGGCACACTTTTCGGGTGTAGGTGCCTTCTTCATCATAGTTCTGATCGTCGCTGTCATCGGAGGGGTCGCTTGGATTGTTTACACACATTTGCGCGCACGACGATTAGGCTTACCACAACCATCCTTATCATCTTACAACCCATTCAAAGGCGGATCTGATCGATATGGCGGATCGGGTTCGGGACAAGGTGGAGTGGTCGGATGGGTGAAGGATAAAGTTAATGGATTAAAGAATCGCAACAATCGATCAGCCGGAGGAGCGTATGAGGAACCTTTAAGCAGCAACGTACGCGGTCGTGCAGCAAATCGTGGTTTCGGTCCACTGGATCCTGATGATGCTTGGGATGCCCGAGTCGGAACAGAAGCTGATGCATATGGACCTGGAGGATATTTCGAGGAACAAGAGCTCGGTTTACATGGTGGCCATTCGGGAGCTGCGGGAGCGTCGGGTACGGGACCTGGATTCTCAAGTCCTCCACGTGGCAGAAGCTTAAGTCGCGAAGCGGAGCCATATGTTGGAGGATCAAAAGCTGGGCTCGATAGACGTTATGATGAGGAGATGGGAATACAATCAGCGAACAATCCTTTCGACGATCCATCCGAATTGAGGGGTGTTAGTCCAAGACCAATGGATACAAAAAATAAGGCGCATGATGATAATCATTCGGAGAGAAGGTCAATGTTTAGAGAGAACATGTAAAATGGTAACGCATGGAGGTTATGATTTCTGAATGGCGATACGGTACAATGGGTGAATGGTTTTTGCGATACTCCAGGGCAGGCTGTACTTATACGGAGCGAAGAAACTTTACGAATGCACTTCCTATTTTAAAATCTGCCCACAATTTCTTCTACACTATTGAGCAATGAAGATCTGAGACCAGAGAACCGGAAAACATTCTTGGGTGCTTCGACTTTACTGAAGCTGTGTATAATCCTGGCATCTTTAGATTAGGTATTGTTAGGTCCGTTCTAGATGAATGAAAGGCCTCATGGACTAATATACATATACCTGTTTTGAACCTTCGTTGGAGACACTTTTTCTGCCCCCTATTCCAAACGGGCTCCAGTGCTATATCATCACATCCAAGTTAGTGGAAGCCACTAACATCTTCAGTCAAACCTGTCACTTGTCTTTCTCTTGTTTTCTTTGTATCGCACGGGTTATCGTTAAAGGGAATATGGATGGAATCTTCCCTGACTTGATCCCACCAGTTCCTGCTCCAAGAGCTTCCCACGTGCTGATAAGATAGCTTCCGAACAACCCCTCTAACCCCACTTTGGAGCTCATTTGTCCAACTCTAAACCCCTTACATTACATCCAAGTAGGGTCTCCTTTTGAATATTATTTACTTTAACATACTCTTTTTAACTTCTAACCAAACATCAATTCTACATTCTTTTAGCAGATCTCCAAGATGACCGCAGTCAACCTCCAAGAAATCCACGATCTCTTGATCGACATTGCTCATGAAGCAGGTCGTATGATTATGTCGGCAACCCCTTCATACTTGAGCTCTGGGACCAAGATGAACAGTAAGTGAATAACAATCATAACCTTTCGTCACTTATCAATTGCTTCTACATCGTCGTCCCTAACTTCTCCCTTTACAGCCGCCGACCTGGTAACCGAAACCGACAAAGCAGTCGAAGCAATGGTCTCCACCCGCCTTACCGCCGCTTACCCAACCTATTCCTTCATTGGCGAGGAGACATTCGTCAAAGGAGAAACTAAACTCACTTCCGCCCCAACCTTCATCTGCGATCCCATTGATGGCACAACAAACTTCGTCCATGCATACCCCGCATTCTGTATCTCTCTTGGCTTCGTTGTCGACAAAGTTCCCAGTGTAGGAGTTGTATATAATCCCTTCACTGGTGACCTCTTCACAGGAATCAAGGGTCACGGCTCATTCGTAACTCGTAAAGATGGGGAAAAATTCAGCCTGCCGCTCAAAAAAGAGCCAGAACCGTTAAAAGATTTGAGTACCTGTCTCGTAACCGCAGAATGGGGCTCAGATCGCTCAGGGCATAATTTCGATCTCAAATGCGATGTCTTCAGAAAATTATCTGCGGCCAAAGAAGATGGAGGCGCGATGGTACATTCACTAAGGGGGTTAGGGAGCGCAGCTTTAAATTTGGTACATGTGGCTAGTGGACAACAAGATGTTTTTTGGGAGGGAGGTTGTTGGGCTTGGGATGTTGCAGCTGGGTGGTGTATTTTGGTTGAAGCGGGAGGCATTATGGTTGGTGGTAATCCTGGGGAGTGGAATTGTGAGGTTGATGGGAGGAAATATATGGCGATCAGAGGGGCGCCTAGTGGGCAGAAGGATATTGTGGAGGAGATGTGGAGGGTAATTGGGGATAGAAAAATGAATTATGAGAGTTAGAGGGGGGAATTGAGAAATGATATGATACCTGGACGCATACCTGGATGAGAATTCACATCCAAAATCTTATGATTAGACGAAATTAAAAGTATCCTTTTTTCAACATCTTTTAATGTGAGATGCCTCATACATAACGTTTCACTGCTAGTGCAGGTTGACATGTAACAGCTTTTCATTGTCCTGCATATCTTCCATTTCATCAATTTCTATCATTTTACTTTGAATAGGTGGTAGTATATACTCTCCAAGATATCCACTACATCAATCTCCGTACCCCTTCGCCTAATCTCTAAACAGATCCTCAAGTCTAGACAGTTTCATCTTGGAGATAACATAACTCACCGGGATCGAGAAGATTTGAGAAGACTTTCTCTACGTGTTGGTGTTCCTTGTTGTTTCTCATCAACCTTTATATAACCGAAAAAAGCGGCGGAAATTGAGTATTCTTTTAAAGATTTTTTCTAATAAATTATAAATTCATTTCAAATTAACTGTTAAAATTTGAAATTTGAAATTTGAAAAAAGCAAATGAAAATGAAAATTTGGGTCTTTTTTGTATTGATATTAAGTGTTTTTATTATTTAATATTTAATATTATATCGAGAAGAGATCTTAGTTGTTAAAATTTTTTTGAATGATGGTTAATTTCCATTGCTTTTTTTGGTTATGTAGAGTCAGTCAATCCCTTTTCATTATAAGAAGAAGGATTTTTCAAGTAATCACTGCAAGGTAGGTATTCATGAACATGTTATCTGTGATTCTGTGGGGGGAAAAAATCTGATATCTCGAGAAAGTGAGTTTTTATTTTGCTATGTACCTAGTAGGTATGTAGGTATGCTACATGTATCTAAAAACTAGGTAGGTAAGTAGTTGTGATAAGGACAGGATAGTCTGGATACTAGGTAGGTAGGTAGGTGTATAATTCCAAGCTATGCTATGCTATGGTAGAGAGAGAAAGAAAGAAAGAAAGAAAGGAATATTCTTTTCTGTGATGAGTTGAAATAACGGAGCGGAAATGAACGGAAATGGAAATAACTGAAAAAATGATCGTAGAATTTGCGGGAAATAGAAAATGAAAATGAAAAATTGGGTTGGATTGGGTTGGATTGGATTGGATTGGGTTGAATTGGGTTGAGAAATTTTTCCTCCATCTCTTCAGGTATAGGTAGGCAGGGAGAGGTGCATACGCGAAGATGTTTCTTTTCTTTCTTTTCTTTTTTTTCTCTCTCTTTCTCTCCCCTATCTCCCCTATCTCTCCCCTATCTCCTGTATCCTGTCTCGCCTGTCTCTCTATGAGGTCTTGTCAAGGCGGCAGGTATGCGTGATGTGGGGTGTGGAATTTTTACCAGGAGGAATATCCGTTGGTGCCTTTGTTCCAGTTGTAGTTGTTGTTGTTGTGCTTGTCGTTGTCGTGCTTGTCGTTGTCGTGTTTGTCGTTGTCATGCTTTCCACCGTCGTATTTTTCCCCATCATGCTTATCATCGTCGTGCTTATCATCGTCATGCTTGTCGTCGTCATGCTTTCCTCCATCATACTTGTCATCGTCGTGCTTGTCGTTGTCATGCTTGTCGTTGTCCTGCTTATCATCGTCATGCTTGTCGTTGTCGTCTTTGTCGTCATGCTTGTCGCTGTCGTGTTTGTCGTCGTCATGCTTGTCGTTATCACGTTTTCCACTGCCATGCTTGTAATCGTCATGTTCATCATCGTCATGTTTTCCGCCACCATGCTTGCCGTTATCATGTTTGTTGCCCTTGCCATGTCTGTCATGATCGTCATGCTTGTCATCTCTGCCGCCTCTTCTGTGAATAGAGCCTTCTCCATATCCTCCACCATATCCATGATTGTCATTCTTGTTATCTCCGTATGAGTTGGAAACTCCACCATAACCATGAGAATTGCCGTAATCGTCGTTCTTGCCGCCATTGTTATAGTCTCCGCCATAACCTTTGTTGTCTCCACCATAGCCCTTATTCCATCCATAATTGTCGTGCTTGTCATCTCTGTATGAGTGAGATACTCCGCCATAACCTTTGTTGCCTCCATTGTTACCATGATTGCCGTTATTGCCACGGTCATTGTCATGGCCATGATTTCCATCGTTGCCGTAATTACCGCTGTTACCATGATCGCCATAGTTATCGTAATTACCGTAATTATCGTTCTTGCCACCCTTGTTTCCGCCATTGTGCGAGACGGAGTGGTCATCCCCAGGTACTAGGTTTGTCAGTAAGATGCAAATTTGGAGGAGAGGATGGATAGATGGAACAAACCAGGAATGGCGGAGGCACTGAGGCCGAGGGATAGGATGATGATATTAATGAGCTGCATCTCGACGATGATGTTTGTAAATGCGTTGAAGGCAGAGAAGTGTTTGTCTGATGGTGCCGGAGTCAAGTGAATTTTTTGTTCAAGCTTGAAGATTGCAGTGTGATGATTGAAGCTGTTGATTGAAGCTGTTGATTGAAGCTGTTGATTGAAGCTGTTGATTGAAGCTGTTGATTGAAGCTGATGAGAAGAAAAAAGATGAAGATTAGCTCGATATAAGTACTGATCTATCTATCAATAGACAAAGCCTCTCCAGCCAGCTTACGGACGGACGACCGATTTAGAACTCAGCTGCTACTTCTCCCAGAGTAACATGTCCGATCCACATCATCTTCTTCGAACTCTGCCTTTGACTTCCTCAGCTAACAAACGTAAGTTGTTGATCAAACTTCAGCCGGGCTTGAGGACTTTCAAGGCGAATCTCCTTTGCATTGCCGGGCATGGATTTGCCAAGTTATGTTATTGAGTTTGATTTTGATGTAAATTGTTACTGAACCTTCCCGCCGGCAATGATCATCTCCAAAGCTGTCCTGTCCGTCCATCTTTAGACAATACATGTTACATGAGTTCCATGCTTCACACTCCGCGATACAATCTCCGTGTCTCTCCACACATGATACTGTGAGACTCATTCGTTCGTACGGAGCTCCTACGCTTTTACGTAATGACCCTCGTGAATCTTCATCTTCATCTTGATCTCCTGCGGGCAGAATAAAAATAAATTATAAATTGCAATTTCTTCATTACTAGTTCGTACTACGTACATCCATACATGCGATGTCTCTCGGACATACAATCACTCATACACTCACTCATGCATTGACATCGATATTGATATCGATATCGACATCGCCAGCCTCGGAATAAATAAACTATAGCTTGTGCGATCCGAAAGAGGCGTGCTTCTAAGCCGTTGACGCCTTACTTCGCGGTATTACGTGATGGGTGGTGAGATGTAGATGGTTAGATGGCGTGTATTTTGAATGGATAGTCAATTATCCCGTGCCGCTACCGCTGTCGTTGTCGTTGCCGCGGTTAGTGTGTGAATGTATGTATGTGTCTCATATGTGGAATGTAATTGTGGAGGCTTTGCTAAGTTGGTGTGTAATGCGATGGGATAGGGTGGCATGGGATGGGTTGGGATGGGATGGATGAATGGATGGAATGCATTTGTCATGGTTTGCTAAGATTGGATGTGTGGAGTGGAGGAGATTGGTGGTTTGAATGGCTTGTGTGTTGTGTAACTGATTTATTGATAGATGGATGTGGATATGGATTTGATTGATCGGCTTATGTATATAAGCATGTGGATGTGGATGTGGATGCAGGGGAATGGAATTGAACTTGAGATCGATCCGCGTCTTGGCGCTTGGGTTTCTGTTTTCTGGGGAAATGTATGGCTGGTTTGAATGGTAGATTGATTGATATGTAGATTGATAGATTGGCATGGATGGTAAGAAATATATCGTGAGTGAGTGAGTTAGTGAAAAACGAGAAGGTTTTCGTCATCGCCTCGTGTTTCGGATGTATGGAAGATACAGGATGGTCATTTTCATTTTTATCTTCATTACGCAATTGTTGTTAAAAAAAAAATACTTATATACCTAGGTATGTATATGTAATTCCCGAGCCAAGAATTCGGCATGCTAAAATACGAAATTATGAATACATACGGTACTGTGTGATTCGCAGAGGTAAGAGGAGGATCAGGCGGGGAACAGGTTATGGTATGGTATGGTATGCCATGGATGTACCGGGATCCTTGTTTATTTACTCGGTAGTTGTGTGACGGGACGGGGTGGTAAGAAGCGGTATATGGTAGCCGAATTCTGGGGTAGGGAGATATACGGGTAGGGGGCTTAGGGAGGAAAGTTGGGTGGGTGGGTTTACGGGTTGGATTTTTGGTGGGAAATGTTGGATTTGTGGGTTAGTACTGGGATTTTATTTGAAGGGAGGTAGGTAGGTATCTTTGGGTGTTTGTTTGGGGAAGGGAAGAGAATAGAAGATGATTTCGGTGGTAAGGTTGTGTGTTACTTATTAGGTACTTGAAGATGGGGTTTGGAGCTTGTAGAGCTTGAAATGGAGCTTGGATGGAGATGAGTTTTGAGTGCCTTGCTAATTACACGATTTCAGATTCCAGTGGAATAGTCTTCACTTGGGCTTCGAATCAAATGTCTGTGATGGAATAGAAATCACAATTCTATCTTTCAATTCTTTTTTCTTAACTTCAAGGTTGAATATCGTGTGGTGTATGGTATACCAAATCTTGTTACCTAGATTGGGGAGATATGTAGACTTTAACTACTATAATACGAGATTCTTCTTTCCGGAAATCTTGAAGTATCTGGAGAGGAGAGGATATTGATGAAAAGGAGAACATTCGTGTCAAACTGCCCAGGTTGTGAATAGATAGGTACAAACTACTAAAAATCGATCTTAGCGGAAGTAGATGAGCGAACAGTTTATGATTGGAGTTTACGCATCTACGAGATCTCAAGAGAATGATATAGAGGGAGAGCAGGAGGAGTTATTGAGAACCTTTGAATGTGCTGTTGAGATGTTAATTGCTTATGAGGGACGAAGTAGATGGGTGATTTTAACAGAGGCTATGTATGTATTCATGTACTCTGCTTTTGGTATTTTCTTTACAAAGAGATTATAATATATATTTACTTTTTTGAATTCTCGAATGATGGATGGGTTAAGTGTCACGGAGAAACTGGATAGGATATCTGATTGAGAGTGAGATTACTTTCTGGAATAGGATGACAGTCTGATAGTAAACATTTGAGTAGGGTTTGGCAGTATATCGAACTACATAATTTCTGAAGACAAAACACAAGTACCAAGGTTGGCTTTTGATTTGAGCGCAAACCATACTTTTTAATATGTAGGATTGTGTACAATTATATCTTCTCGATGTTGTAATAGTACTGTAGTATGTCTATAAGGTGAAAGATGCTAGTGCGTCATACAATGGTGTATACTGAGATGAGAACTTTACTGCTTATTATTCTATTCATGGAGTAAAGGAATTGGATGGAATTGACGGGCTCGAAATGGTTTGAGGAAGAAGTAGTTACTAAGCGATCAGAAGAAATATGTATGATCGGTAATAGCTGCCCAGGTGATAGCTGATGAGGGTAGTGAATGCTCGTTAGTTAGCCAACTAGCTTTACTAATGTTTGTCTGATTTATCTTGGAATTGAAGGATACTGTGGTGCATGCTAATTTGGGTATTACAACTCCAAGGGCAACGATGAATAGGACTTCTAGGATTGCTAGGTACTCAAGTAATTAAGAAGCCACCACAACTTCGACATCTGACGCTTTAGCAGCTGGGTCTGAGTTTTTGGATAGCTAGATATGAAGCTAACACTGGGGAGACAAAATGGAATAATCTTGCTGATGTAAGGATGAGATGCGATGCGATCCAAAGACCAAAATATCCACCACAGCCAGAGAAACCATCGTTTCTATCCAATTACTACAAATTTCTAACTACCAAAAAAAAATCTATTTATCGGTACTGCTATCCCATGCCCAGACAAAAATAGCTGTGCAGTTTCTTACTTCACTTTAGTATTGGTGTGTCTGTTATTTCGAGACAAGGTGTGTGTGTAACCCACCAAGTAAGCAGAGGAGAAGATGGGGGAGAAACATTTTGAAACTGCATTAGCTTGGTGGGTATGCTAGAAGAGTGAGATATTTATAATAGGTAGTGAGAGAAAATGGTGTTCTGTAAGTGAAAATAGAATTGGGTTTGTTTCGCAGTGTAATTGATGATTTGTGTGGGATTTATTTCAAAGTGGTATGAGGAGAGTCTGGATGTTTATTTTGAAAAAAAAAGGGGGGAGGGGTGACTGACTGTGTAGAGAAATTAATACTTTCTGGTTGGATTTAGATGATATGTGTAATAATAATGAATTATATACCATGATTCCTGATTATTTAAATAGAAGGCCTTCTTCTTCAATAATTCCATCTACTCTGCAGTTTCAGGGTAAGACACACCAGGTAGACAATCAAGAATCTATCCCGCAGTTCTAGGATGGGATGGGAATTTCCCGAGGAATTTCCCGATTTTTGTTGCAGATCTCCATGTCTCTACTTATTGATATAGCATTATGTAAATGTGTGACACGAATTCGGTAGTTGCACAGAATGATAGTGCTGGAATATAGATGGAAGCTTGGCGAGGGGGGAAGGCGGGCTGTAGGGACACTTTGTTCGATTGGTTGTTCGTTCTTAAGATGTGATGATGTTCCACAAGAATTGAACATAGTATACTTAGGTGCTTGAACTATAGATAAAATCTTCTACTGATGTGAGTCTCGGTAAATTTTGGATCTTGTATCGTTGGTCCCTGAGAAAAATTTGGTGTTTCGAGAAGGAGTTATTGGGAGATTGGGAGATGATAGAGATTTTCTTGACTTTGACCCACTATATTCCTTGACTCTTGCTTTTGTTGCGAGATGGGATATTATTCTCTACCAGAGGGATATTAGTGTTGTACGATTTACCCATACCTTTATACCGTACGCCTTAGTCGGCAGGATTTGAAGGGTTCTCAGGTGAATGCCCAGGTAAAGATAACGTGGAATATTACGCGAGAAATGAATTGTTAATCTTGGTAGTTGAACTCAAGTAGAAACCAAGTCCTCTATTTTTGACGTAATCTTTAATGGGTTTCAATTATTCGTATGCTATGTACTTCCGTCTAAAAAACCTAGACTTCCATACGATCTATTCAACTCTTTTCCTGTGATTCCTCTTCAACACGCTATTAAATTGTATGTAACTTCGATATCCTTCTCGAACTATACAGTTTTTATAGAGGCCTTTCCTTTGACCTGGAGGCGATTGCGCTGATTTGAGATACATATAAAGATCTCTTCATCCCGTAATTCAATTGAATACCATTGCCTCTGCATGAAAACCATCAATTATGAAAGCACATAGAACTTAGTGACGATGTTTCCACGGATCTTCTTTCAACGGAA